TCTGCCTCCCGGGTTCAAGAGATTCTTCTGCCTCAGCCTCCTGAGTAGCTAGGACTACAGGTTCATGCCACCATGCCCAGCTAATTTTTGTATTTTTAGTAGAGACAAGGTTTCACCATGTTGGCCAGGATGGTCTCGATCTCTTGACCTCGTGATTTGCCCTCCTCAGCCTCCCAGAGTGTTGAGATTACAGGCGTGAGCCACTGCACCCGGCCCATACTTTTTATTTAGAATAGTTTTTTTTTTTTCCCATTTATTTATTTTATTGTATTTTAGGTTTTGGGGTACATGTGAAGAACATGCAAAATTGTTGCATAGGAACACACATGGCAGTGTGATTTGCTGCCTTCCTCCCCATCACCTACATCTGGCATTTCTTCCCCTGCTATCCCCCCCCAGCTCCCCACCCCCCACCGTCCCTCCCCTATTTCCCCCCAACTGACCCCAGTTATACTTTATGAAAAATAGTGGTGAGGGTACAGAGAATTACCATGTACCTCACATGCAGTTCCCTCATTATTTACATCTTAGTATGATACATTTGTTATAATTAATGAACTAGTATTGATGCATATAATAATCCCATTAATAACATCACTACATTTAATACTTTTTAAAAAATTTCTTAATCTTAACCTGATGTCCCTTTTCTGTCCTAAGATCTCATCCAGGATTCCACATCACATTTAATCATCCTGTTTCCTCAGGTTCCTGTTGGTTTGACTGTTTGTAAGATATTCTTTACTTTGATGACCTTGACAATTCTGAGAGGTCCTGGTCAGGTATTTTATAGAATGCTCCTTAATTAGGATTGTCTGATTTTTTTTCTCATGATTAGACCAGATTATGGGTTTTCAAAGATAATTCAGAGGTTAAGTGATATTTTTATATAAAAGATACATACTACCAATGAGACTAATCCCAGTATATATTAAACTTGATCATTTGGCTGAAGTGCTATTTGTCAGGTCTCTCCATGTAAAGGTAGCCATTTTCCCTGCTTTGTCTATTGAACTTTTAGAGAAAAGTCACAACGAGATGTCCATGTTTGAGATGTAAACCTTCTTGCACACAAACAATCTGCAAGAATTGTTTGAATTTTTTCTGCAGGAATAATTTGTTTCTTCTCCCCTATTTATTTATTCAATCATTTATATCTTTATGGACTTACAAATATCTATTTTATACTTTAAATTAATATCCAATATTTATTTTACTCAAAATTTTCTAGCTTTGGCTATTGGAAAGTCTTTCAGTAGGCTTCTGCATTCCTTTGATATATTACCAGGTATATATGTGTGAATGTGAGTTTGT